GGAATGTAGGAAAATAATGATTGCTTCCCTTTTTTTCTTTCCCTCCCTCCTTCCCTTACTTTTAGTTTTTGTTTTAGTAGAACATTTCTCCTAGAGACTTGGGCACTGAATAGGAGCTGTGTGAGGAACACTTTCCCCTGCCTTCACCCCCTTATCCTTTACTCCCTCGCCCTTTACCCCCTCCTTCCCTCTCAAGCCTGTTTTAGGCAGTGATTGCAAGGTAACTAAAGTCTTTATAAAGGAGAAGTGTGGGACTGAGGGTGACGAAGGATCCCTGCCCGAATGCATGTCCTCTACTGGCTGGTCACAGTGCCTGTGGCTGCCACCATTAGGCTGTCTTCTTTGGACTGAGACCCAGCCTCCCCAGAGACCCTGTGCCAATGCAAATGTCTACTGGGAGGTGGTAACATACGAACCTTCCCTTATCTATGTTGCCAGGTAGACCTTTGGATTAACTTGCTCAAAGGGCAACCGCTGGGACAGCAATTAAGGGATGCCAGGGTAGAGGGCAAGTGCACACCTCTGGAGGAGTGTCTGGATTTGAGTCCAGGCTCTACCACTTACTAGCTATGTCACCTTATGCCTCAGTTTCCCCAACTGCCAAATGGAGTTAATGAATAGCACTCACCTTGAGGGCTGATGTGAGGAATAAGGTGTGGAGGCACATAAGACACCTAGAACAGTGCCTAGCACGCCGACCAGGGGCTCCATAACTTGAGCTCTTGTTATGGTAAATAATTTGACGATGGTGTCTAAAGACCAAGATGCTGACAGCAGAACCAAGACTGTGTGTGGTACCATGTGAGAGGCCCTGGCTAGCCAGGGGAGTGGCACAAGAGGCAGAGGAACTCAACTAATAAATACAACTTTTTGTACTTCAAGCCTTGTCCCTGGCCAGTTCTGTGACTGAGGAAGGGGGAGTTGGACAGCAGAGGCAGTGACAGCCTAGAGCAACAGTGTTGGGGTGGAGAGTCCTGAGCTGGCCCAGAGGTTGATAAGTGAAGTGACAGATGCTCTATTTAGGCCTCAGAATATTGGCTTATGAAATGTTTCTTTTCTTCAAAAATTGATTTAGTACCCAATAGTAAAAAAAAAATGAGGTTTCAGATAAAAATCATAATTTCTTTATTCTCATGAAAAATTGGAAGATTTATTAACACAGGGCCTAAAATGTTGCAAAGTAACATTAGGCTGGAGTTAAGTGCCTGATGGCCCCTTTCAGTGTGCCCTCCAATTTACTGCAGTCCTCAGCACTCTCTATTGTCTCCAGCACTGTGGCTATTGGTATACTTTTTTTTTTTTT